CCTATGGGCCGCCAGGCATAGCAGAAAACCCAAACCCCGACACAAACTGAATCCATAGTTTCTCTGATTATGTGTCTGCCGGCCTTCTTCTTTGAGACGGCCCACGACGCTGATGACTGGCGCCCGGCGGCGGGACCGAAACCAGTGGCATGACGCAAAATTCGCAACCCCCTTCTTGCCCCATTCCCCCTTCTCACCATCGCTCGGAAGGCCGTTCCCCGTGTATTGTCCGGCTTCCTGCGCGCATGTGCTCCTCGAGATGGCCCGACATGCTACTCGGTGGTCTTGCTTTCCGCGGCCGCTGAGCACACATGTGCTAGGCGAACTGACTGGAAAAGGAGGCGTCTCGCAGCGCAGATACGCTTGCGTTGACCAGAACAGCGGCTCAGAATCTCGCGTGGAACGTAAGGAGGCGGCGTCATCTGAGGCGACGCTCTCTGCCGTGAGCGTGGATGGCCCCTGCCGGCAAACAACGAACAGCCCTTGCCGAGGAGCGAGGCACACGTCCGAGCGATGCCGAGCTTCGTCCGGCCCGAGGGCGGGTCCTCGATGACCCACACGTGCGCGGGCGGCGCCTGGCCGCCGCCCTCGCCCGTGACGCGCAGCCACCACAGCAGGATGGCCTGGCCCCCCTCTGCGCGACGGCACGGGGGGGCTCACCCTCGTGGCCGCCCGGTCTGCTCCGAGACCCCAACTCGCCGTCGCTCGGACGTCCACTCCCCGTGCATGCTTCAGCGTCGTGCGTGTTCTTGTTGGTCACGTGCGAGCGATACGAATAGCTTTGCGGACCTAGCTTGAGTAGCAGACCGAGTTCAGACCTCTGCATGCGACAGGCGGACGCGCCTGATGTCTCCGAATCGGTTCCTGTGATTACCAGCCCTGTAGCCCCCCTACAGCCCGAGTTAAGCACAGAAAACCGACAGCCCCTCTCAAGATCACTCGAACAATACGAATAATTTCGCGGACCTAGCTCAGAGAGCAGCAGACCGAGTTCAGACCTCTGGATTCAACAGACAAACGCGTCTGATCATTTTCAATTGGTTTCTGTTAGTATCAGCTCAGTAGCTCTCCGATAGCTCGAGTTAAAACCGCCACTGCGTGTCAAGATGACCCCCATGGTCCTCGCCGAGACAAAAGCCACGCGTCCGAGCGATGCGAAGCCAGCGCTTGCCGCACCCGTCTCGCTCGGTGAGCCGTGCGTCGGGTGCGGTCGAACCAGCTGGTGCCGCGAGCCGCAGCGGACGATCTGACGGCGCAGTGCGTGGGGGACGGGGCGGGGAACGTCTGTCAGTCGTGGTGGCCCGTGGCGCGTGTCGGAGCCGACGTGCGCCCGCTGGGTAGAATTCGCGGCAACCTCAAGAGAGGTGGCGGCTACAGTCAACCCGTATGACAAGGATGCGCGGTAAGAATGCAAGGGCCTTGGAAGGCCATGTCGATACGTTTCGGGCGGGGCGCGGCCAACGAAAGCGGCCAAGGGTGGACCGAGGAGGCAAGGATGTAAGGGTACCCTTGAGAAGGTTACCCTTCCCTACTATGCGGGTCGACTGTATGCCAAACGACACATGCGTGCGGGCTTGCAGCAACACGGGGACTCGCATAGCCAGGGTCATGAACTGAGTGCAGCCGATGGCGAAAGCACGAGTTGCGAGTCAAGCTGTAAAGTGCGATGCGTCGTGCTTCACGGGCTTGCTGCCCAGCACCAGCCACGATCGCGCCGTGTCAGGGACCACTGGCGCTGAGCTCCGCCAGATCCGAGCGGCGGCATTTAGTGTTGTGAATGCGTAGGCCCATGACAGCTCGCTCACAATATACCTCGCGACACGCAAAAACCCATGGTACTACACGATTTCGATGTCGCGGTGTGGCCGATGCGCCAGCACCCAAGCATTGCGTGGCAACTGGTAGACCCGCTCGTACGTCTCGAGACGGCTTGGCGCGAGGTCAATGTGCTCCGTCAGGAACGAATATCATGGCAGCGTACTTAGGGTGGCTCGCGCTGCGCCGAGTCGGCTGGTCCATGGAGTAGTCAGTGCTGCTCCGATCCGAACAAGAGCCAGGTGCTGTCCCTCCCCGCCTCCGACCCCCAGGAAGGCATCCAGCATTGGCAGGTCAATCAGTACACTAAGGCGAATCAGTATACATAGAACTTCGGTCAAGCGGGACAGAAAATTGTGGAGCGGGGCCTTCTCCCATCCCTTCCATCCCCTCTAGTCCCTTCACAGATTCTTCTGCTCCTTCCCCCCATCCTCTATCTCCGTCGATCCTATCTACTGAACGAAAAGTACGGTAAGCGACCGCAATCGAAACATGCGGCGTTCTCTTGGCCGTGCCGGCTCTTAGCATACAATGCGATTCGGTAGCAAGGATGAGTATACGGCCGCCACACGCCCATGGCGCAAAAGGAGGCGGAGGGGAATGAATTAATTAATGAATGAATGGATCAATGGATTCATGAATGAATGAAACACGAATGAATACATGAGCTCATGGACTACTCTAACGTACGGCCAGAGAGGCAGCGCTGGCCTCGTTACTGAACACGGGACTATGAGAAGGCTCCCCTCAGAACCCTGCCAAACGAGGCGAGCGCACGGTCCTTCATCGCGCCCTGCACCAAGCAGAACAAGCCAAACCTCGAAGATGCGGACTCGGGTGTACTGGCCCATCCGTGCAACTACGCCGCGGGCCGCGTGCCAGATCATTCTACGATAACATGGAACCCTCCGGCGGCCAACACACACAGAACAACCTAGAGTGCCCTCCCCAGGATGCACAAGAACTTCCAGAAAACACGAAGAACACGCCCTCCCCAAACCGACCTCGAAGTTCTACCTCGGCCCGACTGTGAGTACGGTGACGGTACTTAACCCTGGAGGGTGATGATGATGATGATGATGACGACGTGCGCAGCCGATGACGGCCGAGCAATGTCCTGGCCTCGCGGCAGAGGGCGGCCGCCCTCTCCTTGTTGCCCATGTCCTGTCTGGACGACCTCGGACACTGGCAACCTAACCAGGCGTCTGAGTCGGACCAAGTTGAGGGAACTAATAGAGGCACAAGCATCATTCCTCCGAGGTCCACGCGGACGCCTTGCATCCGCGCTGGACCCCCCTTCCCTGGCGCGCGGAGCAGACGCCAGAGGCGCCGTCAGGGTGCCCAACGCCGATCCACGAGTCCGCCTGCAACTCCGAGAAAAATGTTTACGCAGCGTTTTGCTCTCCGTAGTGTGTGGCAGACAAATCGCACCCCCCTCGCAGTATGGCGCGCCCTGCAGCGAAACGGTTCGCGCTTTCTGTGTCGGCGCTCAATTCGCCCAACTTCGGATGCACGTGTCCGTCCGTTTGCCTAGGCCGCCTCCCGTATGGCAGAGTCTGGTGACGACGGCCATCACGAGATGATGCTCATGAGGTTGATGACGAAGCGCGCCGCCGATGAGGCGAACCCTGGCAAAATGGTGTCAGGTCCTCTCCGCCGACACTCGGGCGGCTGACAACGGCCCATGGACGCCGCCAGCGGCGGCGCCTTGCTGGCAACCGCTTCGCCCCTTCGCCATACTTGTGTTTGGTTTGTTTGTGTATATGTCTCTCCCTCTCTCTCTCTCTCTCTCTCTCTGTCTCTCTCGTTCTGTCTACCTCTTCCTGTCCCAGACGTGTGGCTTCCTGGGCCACCTAACTTCGAACACCTCGCCCCGGGACGCGCGATTATCTTCGCGCCCTCGCGCTGCCGCCCTTGAGAGAAACACGCCTCTCCGACAGGAGCCGCGCTGCGCGACGCGCGGCAGGCCAAACCTGCGTCCTGCTGTGTCTCCGTCCGGCCCACTCCCGTTGTCGTTCCCGCCGTCCGAGCCATCTTCTCCAGAGGCCCCCTAGATGGGGTCGGAGTAGATGGGGTCGGAGGATTGCGCCGCATCGCCGATACATCGGCGATGCATCGCCGATGCATCGGCCATGCACTGGCGAGATCGGCGATGCATCGGGGACGTCGGTGAGGAGAAAAGTGGGCCCCACATCGAGCCGCATCGCCGATGCATCGCCGATGCATCGCCGATGCGGCGCGATCCCATCTAGGAGGCCTCCCAGATTCTCCGTTCTTGGAAAGTCGCTCCTGCCATCAAAACGGCACAACAAAACATGGCACAAATTAAAAGTTGCTCCTGGAAAAGTTCCTCCTGATTCATCACCTCCCCTCGAGGCACAACAAAAACTGGTACGAACAGAATCCTTCGCAGATCCACGCCGAGTTCTTGGAACCGCGCTGGACACCCCTCCCTGCCGGCGCCAGAGGCGCCGCCAGAGAGGCCACGAGCAGATCCGAGAAATCTTCGCGGACCTCCGAAAGCATTTGTTGCTGACAGTATTTGCTCCCAAGCTCCTTGACTTCCCCCTCCTCTCCCCTCGCATCCCTCCCTCGACAGAGAAAAGCATCAGGATGTGTTTGCCCTGTCTGCTTGAAGATGCCAGCGCGGAACGCCGGAACGGCCTGGACGCGTCGCAACCCAACGTCGTGGCGAATGAGGTTGATGATGATGCTAATGGTGATGATGGTGATGATGGCGGAAATGATGATGATGGTTATTATGATAATGGATGCATTGTTCTCGTTTTAGGAGCGGAGGAGGCGGAGGAGGCGGAGCAGGCTGCGACGCAGCGCCTCCACGTGGTAGCCCCAAGCCAGGCTCTTCCTGCCTCGGCGGTCGGAGAGGGAACGGGCGTTCCCCACTCCCGAGCCTCCGTCTCCTCCTCGTCCACAACAATGTATTCCTCGTCGTCCTCGCCGGCACCCCCATGGTGCCAGCCAAACCATCATCAGCATCATGACCGCTACCACCTTCATCATAATAATCATCAGATTCGTTCTCGTCCCCATCATTCACAACATCAGCGCCCTCCGTCCCCATCATTCACAACATCAGCGTCCTCATCATTAAAAAGCGTCACTATCATAATGATCATCGTCGTCGCCATCATCTGTATGATCATGATTACGTCCCTGGGCCTGATCGGCATCGTGGCCACCATCACAATCATCACCACCACCACCACCACCATCATTATCATATCATCACCACCATGAGGTTCATCATCATGCTCATCGACATCACCACCATCATCATCGTTCTTATCGGCGCCGTCGCAATCACAATCATCATGGCCGCAACCATCAACATCATCGTCAGCATCAACGCCATCAGCACCAGCAGCATCACCATCACCATATCCGTATCCATCATCATTACCATAATCCCGATCACCACCATCATCATCAACATCATCATCATCACTACCATCACCATAATCATTATAGACACCACCACCGCCAGCATCAGCAACATGACGGTAAGCATTATCCACATCAGCATCAGCAGCATCACCATGATCAACATGATCATCACCATCATGTACCTTCATCATCAACATCGCCGTCCTCACCATCGTCATATCATGTCATCATCGCCATCACTACCCCCATCATCAACAAGATCGCCAACACCACACTGTTCAGCATCACCATATCCATCATCACCCATCATCCGCACATACGTCGTCACCACCAACACAATCAGCATCATTACCATCATCATCGCCAGCTTCTCATCATCATCACCATCAACATCATCAGTATCAGCATCGCCACTAGCAGCGGCAACGACAAAAGCACTATGTGTAGTAATCTTCTTTCGCAGCGGTTTGAGCTCAGACGTCTCGGCGGTGAGACCCAATGAAAGAGAATGAGCTACATGAGGAAATGGCGAATTGCCAAACATCTACGTCGTGTGCGCGGTGCGTGGGGTATCTTGGGGATGCCTGCTGGCCCTCCACCGGCAAGAAAGTCGCGAAGAACACCCACAATGAGCTCATGGCTGAGCATTCGATGTCTAAGCTCTAAGCTAGATTATGCTTGGCACATGCCGCGACGATCTCAATGGAGGAATCAGCGCGCTAGCCCTTGAGAATCCAAGCGTGTAAAAATACATGTTGTTCGTTGCGGCAAACCCCATCGCTCCACACCAACAGTCTGACATCCGAATCGGCTCTATACTAAGAATCATCCTCATTCCGTTGCCCAATTCGCAAAATAATCATATTCTCTGTTGAAAATCTCTCCGTCTCCATATGACTGGATCGCCTGTTGCTGCCAATATTTGGCTATCCGTCACAATATGTAGTATGCGGGTGCGTCCTAGACAAACCCAGTATTGCGCCATCCCGCCAAGCAGATCTCGAAACTGATTCCAATGTTGCGTGTCGATATGCTCCATATGTGTCTTCCGTTTCTTCCCGTTCCTTGCGGCGGTCGGCAAAGACGCTGGCACGGAAATTAAAAGGGGTGATCTTCAAACCAACGTGATCATCGATTGCCAATGATAATGAAAGGTTTCTCCGACGCCAAAACTGTGAACCCCGGTCCATTGAGATTTTCCATTCCGGGTCGGCTGCGTACAACAAATCCCCCCAATGAGCCCTGCTTCCTTCGCGTTGGTGCCGCCAGCCTGATGAGCTGCACGATGCCCCATTCAGCGGATGGGCACACGTTGATGTAGAACTTCAGCGGCGGGCTGACATCGTCCAGGGCGAAATCCCACAGATGATTCATCCATATGAGCAATCATAAAAGTCGCACGTATATTGGCACCACCTTATGCCGAACGAGAAACTTTGCATGACCACGTTGGTCCTGACATTGTACTGGTGCATGCTCTCGTCCCCCCCAGCCCGTCGCATTCGCAAGATTCTCCAAATATGCCTGTTCTCCCAGAGCCGAATGTCATGCAGCATCTGCGCCGTAAGTGTGAAGCCACAAGCCCCAAACAAAGCAGAAAACTACTGGACCCCTGCCCCAAGAACACAAACGCTCTTTGACGGACCTCTGATATCCTGATATCCTTCAAAACAGAAGCCACGAAACCGCATGCCGCCTCTGCCCTTGCGAATCGATGAATCATGCTGCATTTCGTGCTGCCCCGCCCATCCAAGAGCACACGCAACGCTTCAAAACAGAAAAGATCTTCAACTCGCACGAACTGCCGTCAGCTAGGGGTACACACCGGTTGGAGTTGTAAGAAAGATTGCCTCCAGGCATGATATATAGTTCATTTTCATCCATTGCAAAGCGAACTTGTAAATGCGAGCTGAGACATCATTAAACATCTGCTCAAGCTGGGCCGTCGACTCCGCCCTCCTGGCCCCCCTCATTCACAGGAATACCCGATGCCTCCGCAACCCCATCATCATCACTACCAGCATCATCATCATCATCATCATCATCATCATCATCATCATCATCATCATCATCATCATCATCATCATCATCGTCATCGTCATCGTCATCGTCATCGTCATCGTCATCATCATCATCATCATCATCATCATCATCATCATCATCATCATCATCATCATCATCATCATCATCATCATCATCAACCACCTCTGCTCGCACTCGTCGTCGTTGTCCTCCGTCTCCTCCTCCTTCTCCTTCTCCTCCTTCTCCTCCTTCCTCACCCTCCTCCTGCTCCTCCTCACATTATGGCTTCTCTTCAACGTCCACGCTACTTCTCCTCCGAGGAGGTGAAGCAAGCAGGGAGGAGAGGGGAGGGAAAAGGGAGAGGATGGAGGTGGGGCAGAGGGAGGAGGAAGCAGCGTGTGGAGACAAGAAGAAGGAGGCGAGGGAGGAGGGAGCAGGGAGGATTGGAGAGGTTCTCTCCCCGCTCCTCGCCGTCCGGAGCGGGCTAGTGACCTATCCGCCTCATCAAGGGCACAGCCCTTGAACCTCGTCATCGTGAAGAGCAGGGCTGGACCTGTGTCGACCGCGTCCTGGGACCACGCGCGGGGAGACTCGGTGCGCTGGTGAGTAGCCTTCCCCTCCGAGGACACGGCGCGCTCGTCGACGGTAGCGGTCGCCTGCAAGCTGCATGATGTGCATGGCCCCGCCCTCGTCTCCCCTCAAGACCAGCTGCCTCGGGTGAAGGAATTGCTGTATGCCGCTTCCTGTTAGCTCCTGTCGGGGCCAGCCCCTCGAGACGAATGGAAATTCTGCAGCGGGCCACCCCCGTAAGGTCCCAGCCTGCAGGATTGCTCACGAGTTTCTTCAGGTCGGCCCGTCCCAGTGGCAGTACGAGCAATGTTTGATGTCGAATGTGACCCCATCCAGTGCTTTCGATCAGGAAGATTGCCGATCAGAAGAGGCGCCCCAGAGTTTCCAGCGTGTGCCCAATGTGCCCACACGCACGCTATCGAGTTGTGTGAGCTGCCCCCGCGCCCAGAGGCCGAGATTGGAGATGCTCTTGTTTTGTATTGTAAGCGGTGCTGCCAGTATGCGACCACGGGGGCTCAGCAAAATCTGTCCAAACTTTGGTGTGGGTTGGCAGCGTAATGAAAAGGCCCAACACAAGATGCACCGCGTTTTGCAACTCAAGCACCCAAGATGTGGCAACCAGTGGCCCCTCTCGGAGCAGGCTTACACGGAGCTCGCCAACCCCGCGAAAAACCGTAGGGCTTTTCGCCGTTGTCAGGCCATGCCGCCAGAACAAAGTGTAGGTGGAGGAAAGATCGTCGACGAGCCCCGCGAGTACCTGAAGGAGGAACTTGAACTTGCCAAGACGGGCGGCGCGCACCGGATGCACCGTAGTCCCAAAACCATCCGTGCAGTGTCGCGCCCACCGCCGTGTGGATGTCCAGCTCCTGGCCTGGTCGCAGGGCGCGCCCGAGCCGCCTCAATCGCGATGTGAGTCCCTGCGATCGGCCAGTCATCATTGAGATGCCGCTCGCGAAACCTCTGACACTGCAAGAGCAAACGGGTATCGCTTCTGCCGCGGTCCTGCAAATGGCGTGCAGGCCAACCGATCGGGCAGCGCGCGTTTCCAGGTCTCTGCGTTCTCCCATCATATTGGCCGTCGTCACCCAACTGCGGGTCCTGCGCAACGAAAGGAACCATGAGCTCGAAGGGGCGATCGAGCCGATCCGCTCCTCGCTGACCTTACGTGATGAATTGCCCGGTGGGGCTCGGCCTGCACCAGGCCAAATGAGGCACCCGTGAAACGGGAGGAGGAGGGGGAGGAGGACGGCTGGACCAGCCCGCCACCGCGTGACAATAGCAGCGATGCTGAGACGGGCTGGGTGATGGTCGCAGACTGGCGCTAGCTCGGGGGAGATCACTCATCGGCTATCCAGCAAGCTGCGCCACCCTTGCTGACACGCGTGCAGGACCGTCGCACCTGGGGGCCACGATGGCGGCGGGCATAATCTGGGACACCACAGGCTGCTCGAACTCGGCGGGCCCAGATCCAGTCGCCCACGATGATGTGTGGGACGGCGAGGTGCCGCTCGCGCTCGCCCACTCGGTGCAGGCGGACGCGCTAAGAAACGAACAAGTGGTATGAGCAGAAACTTTCGGACGTCCATTCAGATTTCTTGGATCGGCACGGGAGCCCCCCTGCCGCGCGGAGCGCACCAGGGGCAGCGCCAGAGACACCACCAGGGGACCCCAGCGCGGATGCAAGAAATCTGCGCAAAACTCCGAATGCTCATGTTCACGCCGTTCTTTGTTCCAGTTTCGAACTTAGCGCGCGGATAGCTGGAACCGCCCACCGAGTCCGTGCGCAGCAGCGCAAAGATCCAACACCATCTGGCGTCCCTGCACTACCGACTGGACTGAAGAAAACCTCGGATCGCATTATCTGACGACCCTTGGAATTTCCACATGCACTGAGAAGCGCGGAGGGACGCCATTCACTCCTGATAGATGGTCTCCACCCACTCGCAATAGCACAGGCGCCGACTGTGGAGCCGCAACTGTTGCGCGCACGCAATATCGGCTGCCCCTGCGCCTGCAACCAAACGTTGTCTGCACGATGTCCAGCACGACCCACTGAATGTTGCTGAACAGGGTAGAAGGAAACATGAGGCGAGCGAGAGCGACAAGGAGGGGAGGAGGAGGAGGGAAGGCGAGATGAGGAGGGGAACAACATAGAAGGGGACACAAGGAAACGAAGGAGGAGCAGGAACACACGACAATATGGAACGGCCGCGCGAGTGCACGAGGCCGACACAGCAGAGAAAAAGATGGCCACGTCGGGTCACCACCCGTCCCCCGCTCGCCGCACACGTCCGCCTCTCACCCGTGGGATCCCACCAGACGGCAGCGGCAAGGCGGCGCCAGCGCGCGGGGCGGGGCGGCGCTCCTCGCTATTTTCCAGCACGGAGAAGGTGGGGGCTCAGTAGAACCGCGGGCGCGCGCGTGCTCCCCTCTCTCGCCTCCCACCGCGAGGCCGCCGACAGCCGGCCGAACGCCACCAAATAGAACGGCGCATAATTCGGCAGAACCTCCTCGCCAAAGCCCTGTTGGACTGAAACTCCAAGCCCTGCTAGACTAGGCACAGTGAGGGCATGGATTCAAACGTAGGGGGTACCCAAGCAAGGTGGCCCGCAACTTACACAGGACACACCTTATTCAGGGCACAACGTTGCCAGAGGAGACCTAATACCCATGGCCTCGAGCCGCAACGTGTCCGACAAACTCAGCACGTGGCAACGCAGAGACAGGGATCGTGGCCCAAGCCAAAGACGGGCGGCCACTGTCGGCCACCGTCCTTCTCTTGGCCTCCGTCAACACCATTCCGTTTGTCCTTCTCCAACTCCAAGCCTGACCGCCCGACCAGGAGGCAGCCTGAGTCTAGGAAGGAGGGCAAAGCCACCGCGTCAGCGGCGCCGCGGTGCCTGACGAGGCAGAATGGGGTGGGTCGCTGATCTCGAAGGAATTCTCGAGGCAAATGGGGTGGGGACATACAAACAACCAGGTGAGACGCAAGCGATCCCAGAGCTAAGAACCACGCAACCCTGGATTGACAATTCATTGCGTTCACACCTCTGGCTCGCTTCCTGCGATCGGAGCACCGCGAGAAACATGCGCTCTACCCCGCAGGGGCAACATAATGACACAAGTGAGTGGGCAGTGGAGGAGAAGGGCGACGACGACGAGGGAGGAGGGAGATGAAGAAGAGGAGGGAGGAGAAGGAGGCGAAGGAGGATGGAGGAAGGCGGGACGAGGCCGCGACATCCGATGAGCGAAGCACTAGGGAGCGTCCAAGAGGGGGATGCCTAAGAGGGGAGTTGGCAAATCATGGACCGAGGCAAGTGCGCGGACGATCGTGGTGAACGAAGGACGCATTGAAAGACTACAAGATGGCAATGAATCCTGGGGAGTTCATAAAACCGGCCATGCTATCCTCCCTGTCTATCTCTTACTCCCCCTCTTGGCCGCCACTAGTTCTGAGGGAACCAACAAGTACCGAGCCCGATACTCCTACGACCTCTCCCAAGGCCCGTCCTGACGAGGATTCCGATGCGAATCCCGCGGTGGCCTCGAAGGCTCCCTGGGAGATCCCACGAAAGTGGAAACGAGGAAAGGGTAGTGGTATCGCTCTCTATCCTCGTCTAGGTAGCGACAACGAGCCCTACCCCAACAGGCCATCGGTTCCGCTGAATCGATGAGAGGCGCGGGTAGGGTTTGGATTTCGCCACGTGATCGACGCATTCCGAAACCTGACCCCGCCGACCATCGTGTTGCATGAATCGTTGATCGGTGAGGGTAAGGCTCAGATGTTTCGCCGCCGATGGGAATGAGAGAGAGGGGGGGAGAGCGAGAGAAGGGAGAGAGATAGAAAGGGCGACAGAGAAAGAGAGAGAGAGAGAGAGAAAAAAAAAAAAAGAGAGAGAGAGAGGGAGAGAGAGAGAGAGAGAAAGAGAGCGAGGTAATGAGAGAGAGAGGAGAGAGAGATAGAGAGAGAGAGAGAGAGAACGAGCGAGAGAACAGATAGAGAGAGAGAGAAGAGAGAGAGAGAGAGAGCGAGAGCGACAGAACGAGACAGAGAGAGAGAGAGAAGAAGCGAGATGAGAGAGAGAAAGAAGGAGAGCGAGAGAACCAGAGAGAGAGAGAGAGAGCGAGAGACGAGAGAGAGAGAGAGAGAGCGAGAGCGAGAGAGACAGAGAGAGAGAGAGAGAGCTCGCGGGATTCAGCCGCGCGCGTGCGGCCCTGAGTGCAGCAGAACGGTGGCGCCGAGGCGCGCTGGGGGCGGCAAAAGAGCGAGCGCACCGAGGCTTCGATCCTCCATCCCCCCGCCCGCGTCGGCGAAGGGAGGCTCCTCCTCCTCCTCCTCCCTCCTCCTCCTCCTCCTCCTCCTCCTCCTCCTCCTCCTCCTCCTCCTCCTCCTCCTCCTCCTCCTCCTCCTCCTTCCTCCTCCTCCTCCTCACCCTCATCCTCCTCCTTTTCCTGCTCCTCCTCCTCCTCCTTCTCCTCTTTTTCCTTTTCCTTTTCCTCCTCCTTCTCCTCCTCCTCCCCCTCCTCCTCCTCCTCCTCCCCCTCCCCCCCGCCCGCGTCGGCGCAGGGAGGATCCGTTGCGTGACCCGTGGAGATCGGCGAAGGCACCCCTCCCGCGCAGGCCACGGGCGGGGCAGACGAGCCGCGCTGGGCGCCCGGCAGGGCAGGGCGAAGGAGTCGCGCACCTCCTGCGCGGCGGCCGCGGCAGGTCGTCGGCTTCGTCGACGACGTCGTCGTCAACGTCGTCGTCGTCGACGTCGTCGTCGTCAACGTCGTTGTCGTCGTCGACGTCGTCGTCGTCGTCGTGGTCGTCGTCGTCGTCAACGACGTCGTCGTCGTCGTCGTCGGGCTCATCATTGCCATGATGACGGAGACTGGTTCGAAGTTTTGGTCAAAATGCACCCCAGGAAAGGTCCGGGCGTCGGCATGTAGGAGGAGGAAGAGTTAGGGGAAGGTGGGGGGGAGGGCCAGGGAGGACAGCCCAGGGTGGGAAACATCGAAGTCAAGCTGGCGATGCATCGCCGATTGATCGGCGATGGGCCCCATATAACATCAATGCGCGTTCCTGGGTGGGGTGGGCTATCGGGTCCCTATCGTTTTAGGGCGGCCGAAAGAGGGAGGAACAGGAACAGGAGGAGGAGTAATAACTAGCAGGAGGATGTCGTCGTCGCGTCAGCGGCTCCCCCATCATCCCCCCTGTCGCGCTCATTGGAAGCGAAAAAAACACACTCCTTTGAAGGAGCTGTTCGCTAAAGGGCACAAGCCTGTTAGTAGAGTGTTTTGGCTGTGTTGCGCGACAACTGCGGGGGCGCGTCCGAATTGCCGAACCACGTCTTGCGCTCGCGCCCTGAACTTTCTGTCAAGGATCATTTACAACTCGCTGAAAAAATACCCAAAGGTCGCGGCGACCAGACGCAACGCGACCATGATTGCTCGAGCAAGTGCATCTCGGGTGAACTGGCAGGACAGACAGGGGCCCCCAGCCCTCCGACCGGGCCCTGCCCCCGAATCACCACCGTACCCCCCAGGCTCTATCAAGGCAGACCGCGGACTAAAATGAGGAAGCGGCTTTACTGAAGCGAAAAAATGGCTTTATTAAAACGAGGAAGCGGCTTTAATAAAGGAACACTGCTCAGTACATTCAGAAAAATAAAGGAAAAAAACGTTTTACTAAAGCGGAAAAAAAGAGTTTGGTAAAACGGCGGGGCGGATGGGATAAAAGTGCGCGCAGAAATGTCGCTGCTCCCATAAAATCTGGCCCGGGACTCCAGGAGCGAGGGCGGGGCGCAAGTTCGCCTGTGGGCCTGGGCCCCGTCGCCGCCGTCGCCGCGATGTTCGTCGTCGCCGTCGCCGTTGCCGCCGTCGTCGTCGTCACCGTCGGCGCAGGCGCCGCCGTCGTCGCGCGCGCCACTGCGCTCGCATCTCCGCTCGATTGACGGGGGCCCAGGCGGCCATCATAATAGTTTGTCCGCCCACATCTCGTCCAAAATAGTAGTTGGAAAACAACGCCTCTGAACTCAAGATCCTCATCCCTCCGTGAGCGCGCTCATGCGCGCGTGGAAGCGCGAGCGAAAGGAGGATATTGGCGGTGGCGACGGGACGGAGGCGAACCCGAAGACATCCGACGATTCGAAGTTTTATGTTCTGAGGCCCCAAGACCTCTGAGGTGGAACGTCAGGGAGGGGCCGGCTGAGTGGGGGGGCACACGAACCCCAAACATCCGACGACTCGATGTCTTGGAGTCTCCAGCCTGAACACCTCTGAGAGAGAACGTCAGGGAGGGATCAGCGCAGGGGAGGGAGAGAGCATCGAGCTGCAATCAGGGATGCATCGCCGATAGATCGGCGATAGGCCAGGGTATCGAATCCGAACGTTCCTGCGCGGAGTGGGCTATCGGGACCCGATCGGCGATGAATGGGCGATTGGAAGCCGATGCTTCGGGAGCGGTTGGCTTCGCCCACGGCTGCTTCGGCCGGCTGGCTTCGCCCAGCTGGTTTCGCCAACCCGTCGGCTGGTTTCGCCTGGCTGGTTTCGCCGACCCGCCCGTTCGGGTCCCGCCTTCCTGACTGACCCGCCCGTCAGGGTCCCGCTCGCTTGCGTGCTGGCAAGCAGCCAACTTCAATGTCCACCCACCCAACCCGAAGAGTAGGATCCCGACCGTCCGACCCGCCCGTCGGCGAAGCAAGGCCCAGCGAAACCTGCCGCCTGCGAATCCAACCACAGCGATACCAGCCGCCGGCGAAACCAGCCGCCAGAGAAACCAGCCGCCAGCGAGACCAGCCGCCTGGGAAACCCAGCTCATGCCGATGCCTGATGCCGATACGTACGGTTCGGGGGGGCGGGAGGGACATCGAGCTGCAGTCGGCGGTACATCGCCGATGGATCGGCGACAGGCCCGGGGCAGCGAATCCAGGCGTCACTTGGCGGGGTGGGAAGGCCACCCCGCCCCGATCGGCGCTGACTGGGCGATGGTGGGTCGATGAGTTCCGCTGAGCCTCTCGGCCGCCCGTCCCAAGGAACGGCCTCGTCGCTCCGAGGCGCCCGACAGGGGCCGGAGGAGCGGCCGAGAGCTCCAGGCTCGGTGTATGTTTGAGCCCCTCGGGAGGTCCGGGCTGCCTGCCACTTGAACGACGGAATGACACGTCACGTAGCCTCGTCTCTATGTCAAGGTGGGACCATGGCCGAAACTGTCCGAAAATTGGACCGAGCGTCACCAAAACCGGCGCCCTTCATTTTCGGAACGTGCCCGAGTGTGACCGAAATGCTTGGTTCGCAACCAGTGTAATTCGCAATTTCGGCCACTGCTTCGGTCACACTACGTTGTCAACCACATTTTCGGGCACGTTTTGGGAAACTGAATCTTTTCGGCTGATAGGTGCTGGGCGCCATGAGAACCGGGGTTTGCGCAAGATGTCAGATACCGACCTTTCGCAGTGGTTTACGCTGGCCGCCTGCTTGGCACACTGCGTGCACAAGAGTGCGCCGACGGGGGGCCTCACGCGGGAAACCTACGCGCGAATGTCCAAGCAGTCGACCACCTTCACTTCCGTCGCTCACTTGTTTTTTTTCTCGGCGCGGCAAGGCACGACGGCGTTCGCAGAGGAGCAAAAACATAAACATACCCCCCCTCTCTGGCACGCAGAGCGCGCCAGGGGGGCTCCAGCGCCGACCCAAGCAATCAGCGCCGACAGTTGCTGCTCTTTCGATTGGCGAAGCTCGACGGCGTGCTGGGAAGCGTGCCGCAGCTCTCCAAGCTGCCTGCCCCTCTCGAGCTGCTGAGGCCCCAGCGCGGGCGATCGAGACGAGGCATTGAAAAAATGGCGAGGGGAGGCGTGGTACCCTACTCCAGGATGATGGGGGGGGAAGGAGGCGGGGGAGGAGGGAGGAGGGAGGAGGGGGAAGGGACGAAGCGAGAGGGAGGAGGGAGGAGAAGGGCGAGGAGGGAGGAGGGGGAGGGGCGCTCTGTTGCAGGAGAAGGCAGAAGGGGAGAGAGGCAGGGCCGCTCTTCTCGGCTACAGGCGGACCTGGGCCAGAAGAGCATCCCTCAAGAACATGAGACCCTCCGTCGGCCAAGACAAACAGAGCATCAGAGGGTGCCCTCCCCCCAAGATGCACCAGAACATGCAACAAACCCGCAAAACACTCGGGTAACCTGCACGAACCGATCTCGAGTAGAAACTTCAAGGCCGCCCTGGGGGAAACGTCCTCGATGCATGAACAATGTATGCTATACCGCTCTTCGCCCGCTAACACCCGTGCCCACCGAAAGCCGCGCATCGAAAGTCACTCTGGCGAAAGGTCACCTTTACGTGTAGCCGATCCCTCTGGGGACAGGGGCAGGGCGCTGCGCAAACGCTTAGATGTCCGCGCTGATCTGTTGGGTCGACGCTGACCCTCTCCCCGCCACCCCTGTCTGCGCCTCAGGCGCCCTCTCCCCCGGCGCGCTTTCGAACATGCATGTTAACATACAACTCGTTGCTCCATTGGCGCCATCCGCACACCAACTGGGGCTGCTTCTTGTCGTCGCGGTGCGGACAGCGAAGCTTGTCCATGGCACGGGTATCCGACAGCGAAGCTTGCTCAAGGATGAGGGAACCAGAACAATATCAATCACACGCTGCCGTGGGGAACGCATGAGCGCGTCACGGTTCAAGAGACACCAGGTCTTCGGACAAAAACGAAGGAGCACCGGACAAAAACGAAGGAGCAACCCGCTGACGGGCTCCCAGCGAGGCGGCGTGTCACTGATATTCAGGTCGCCAGTGGTTTTCGACCCTGCGCGCCCGCGCCGTCGCCGCAGCACCAAGCGGCGCGAACCTGCTGGACACCTCTGCACCGTGAGCACACGGCGGTCGATTTTAAAAACAAATGTAAAAAACGCTGCGCGCGCACTCCAAAGCGTTGCTGAATGTGACGCGGGCTAGGCACGCACTGCCCCGAGGCGGGTGCCTCTGGCTTCCGCCTCTGTGACCGGAGGCTGCTGCAGAGGCGGCCGTGCGTACAGCCACGGCGGCAGAGCTTCTTCGGGAAGAGTACGCGATTGCAAATTGACTGCACACTACTGCGGAGGCTGTTGCATCCACTTGCAGTCCCAGACGCTAGTCCGCCGAGCATCATGGCTGCCCTCGGCACTCATAAAGCACTTCTCTCCGAGAGTGAGCCGATGGGCTGCATCTTTTGCGAGAAGACCCACCAGTAACGCCTTGAAGCTCGGCGAGAACACATCGGCCAAGCTCTCCCCGCCGCCTTTACGAACCTTGCGCTTGCGAAGAAATTTTGAAAAACCAAACGTGCAGACGTACTCGAAGAGCTCACATGCATTCCGCTTGGTAGAGCTCCAGGGGTAGTCCTGGGCGCCCATGGCAAACAGTACAACACCAAGGGAGAATGTGTCGGCCATAAAAGTGTCGAAGGGACGCTGCAAATAGAGCTCAGGGGCCTGGTATGACTGCTTCCCTCTGACCTCCGCAACCACCGACCGACTCAGCGAAGACATCCCAAAATCAATAATCTTGACCCTCAGACCGCCGTTATCACTGTGCAGCAGCAAGTTTTCCAGGGACAGGTCACGGTGAGCGATCCGACACCGTGCCCTCGGCACGCCTTGGGTTATCAAGAGTGCCCGTCGGCAAACCGCTGGGATGTGGACGTCTTCCCGGGGCGGATCTGCCACCGTGCTCTCGGCGCG